AATTTTGTAACATGTTTGTTATTGAAACACAGACATGGAAAGTATGTTCTCTTTTGTTTTGTTTTTTGTTTCAAATGTCTTTCGTCGGGGAACGGATCTACTCACTCGAATTATTCGTACTTACTGTATCACTGGCTTATAGCAGATTTACCGTAGATTCGAACTCGATCGACCACAGTCAGACTGAATATGCGTCCAGTTCAGTTTCAGTTTTTACAACCGTTGATCATGCACTTGCATGCATCCAAAGCGGCACAAAGTATTCTTGAAATTCGTTTGGAGTTTAGGCCTACCTATCTACTCGTAAATTCCAACAAAGCTTTGAAAACACCGGTGAAACTATCACCGTTATTATTGTTGGAAGTATTACTACTACTGCTAGTAATACTACCACCACTGTCACTAACACCAATGCAGTAGAAGGATCCATGATTCACTCTTGGTCGGAATACTGCTCAGGCTGAAGCAGGTGACTTCTCTTGGCGGAATCACAGATGGAGCCCTCGACCAGTTAAAGCGGTTTGCTGAATGAAAACCACAATCTAACGGGTGTCCGTACCGAGACATTCGCCCATTGGGGTGGGTGGGGGAGGGCTGACTCAAATGTCCAAGGGGCTGAATACGTTCCATCCTCATCTCAACCCGGCTGTCCTGGATTCGGTTCGAGGAGTTCAGTGTTTTCAAGCTTCCCTAGAACTAGAGCTAGCTTCCCGTGACTCACCATGCTCGTATTAGCCTCGAATGTTAATTTTTGGCCCCTTTCATTTTAATGCGAATACCGCGGCCACGAAGAGGTATTAAGTGGGACTTCTTCAGCCGATACTTTCAGAGATGCATTCCTGGGAGGCATTTCTTGGGACGTGAACGAGGCCTCATCCATCAGCATACAATACAGGACTTTCTTAAGGACATAAACTAAAGTACCAAAGATGATATTGGACAAGCAGACATTGTCAGCAATTGAGATGAACTAACATGAAGTCAAAATTTGTTATATTCTTAAACAAATCAAATTGAGTATTGTTTATCCGGTAATGCATCAATCACATTTTATAACTATGTATTCGTCTTACAGAGTAAACCTGTCACTCACTACTGAAAAACTCTGAAACACTGAAAAACAGCTGTTTCACCCATTGATTCTACAGGGATTCGAACTCTGCACGAGGGTCAGTCAATCTGTCACTCTAACCGAATAAGCTATCCACGACGGCTTTCAACAGCGTACAGCACGCGACCACCAACTATTATAATGAAACGATTAGGGATATTTGGTGTTTTTATCCTGCATATATTTGTCATACAGTTTCAACCTCACTGAGAAGGCATGTATCAAGGACTCAACCACTATCTATCGACGTCCGCTACTTTCACTGACTGTAGAGAATGAATACCATACCATGTGATATTCATTTGTAGAAAATTGGTGAGGAGCACCTCCGATAACCTAATCAGTTGGATCGTTAGTACTGAAGCAACTACAACTATTCCTTATAACACCAATCATCATATAAATCCTTAGAATATTACCATAGTAATAATCACTTCTAGTTTCCCAAAATCATTTCTGGTACATGTGCGATTGCAGTCTCGTTTCAGATTGTGAATACTACTCACGGTGTCAGTCATTCAGCTGGACTCTGTCTATACTCGACTTTGTCCATCCGAGCTCGGCCCATCTCATAGTATTTTATCTATTGCACTCGGTCAAATACGTATAACAAAATAGTCGGCAGAGAGCTGCTATTCACCAATGAATTGGAAAATCTTCCGAGAATGCAGTATAACACCTGTGAGTGATTGGTGCATCTGCTGTCAGTTTCATTTTATTTAAGGGATATTCATTAGTCTAACACATCCGTTTCTGCTACGGATGATACTCATCATTTTTCCACTCCATATTAAAACAGGCGTTCGGAGTGTTCTAGTCCTAATCCCACAGAGTAGGGCTATAATAAGCTGGCTAAATTGCCCATAAAACGTTTATAAAAATTGATTGTACTACACTCCAAGAAAAAATTCATACCCCTCCCCCCCAATGCTGTCTCCATCTATGCGAGAAGCACAATAACTACTGACCATTAGTACAATAATCGAGTAGAATGCATAAATACGAAATTTCAACTGAGAAAAGAAATCTGACCGAAACTGTACAAGAATATCTTACCAATTCCCCCGAATTCTTGTCAAACGAAGCAAGTTAGCACAACAGACGGTGGCTATTCCGCGGTGTCACACCTTTTGAACATTTCCAACACGGATCCTAGATTTGTGAATAACCTTGCCCCAGTTACCGATTCTTGTGACAGAATGTCCAGACGAGGAAAGTGCACGTGTTTAAATTTGACCCATATCTTGATCCGATAGTCAATGTGACTTGGACGTTTGAGAACCAGATCCAAAACCGTTAGACGAAGTTCAGCCCTAACATGGCTCGTTGGAAAAGACTTTTCGATGCCAGGAGATGACGAATCGAAGCGTTTTATCAACTGGAGTGAACTATAAATATGATAGCGAAAAGAAGCGCGTGGGTCCCAGCCTACTATGTTGCCGTGTATTGGGTAATCGCAGTAGAAGAAAAAATAAATCGAACGGACTGTCTTCTTAAACTTTTGGGGAAAGATAAAACTAGGTTGATGCGTTTGACCACTAAGTGCGGAATTCAAGCTTTATAAATGAAAGTTCATTCTGGAGTAAGTGTTAGAAATCGAACAATAGAAGGAATTCTGGAACGGTGACGTAGATTAAATGTAGGAAATGATAATAAATGATAAGAAAGGACAAGTGGAGTTTACAATCTATCAGTTGTTGTGGGCTGAAACTCACAATAAATGGTCGTCCTAAAACGGGAATGACTTTCTGTTGAAAAGGCAGTTTACTGGAACCTCTGAGAAGCTATGCCCTCACAAGTCTACTGATATTCCGAAATGGAATGGTCACTAAAAGCAATAATTTACATTCACCAAACCCCAGATGGGTGTATCGTTGTGTAAATGAGGTGTGAGCTGAAAAGCTGGGAGCACTGGACAGCTGTTTCGACCTAGTTTGGTCTCATCAAGAGTGCGAATCCATCAACCCCACTGGAGATCGAACCTGGGACCTCACATGTAGAATGCAAGCATACCTTCTCCAGCAAATTTTTCGCCTAAAAACTAAGCAGTGGAGATTGCGTATTCGGTCTTTCCACGTGATTATCGTATGGATACCCGAAAGTGATACATAGTTACCCACAGAAATTGGCATAAAGCGAGAATTGAATGGGTAAAAAGTTTCGTTATCATTTTTGCACTAATTTTAGGGACATAATCTAGACGCAAACAAGTGATATATATATATCGATTCAACTACATGGTGAATATCGTAGTGCAAAGAGCAAACGAAATGTAAAATGAAATGCTAAGAAGCGCTGTATAGCTCTTTCCATCTAGTTGAATCTCATTAGTAACGTGAACCCGTTGAGTGAAGATCGAACTGGGGACCTCACAGGACCTCACTTGCCTGCTGNNTGCCTGCTGGGCAGGTGATCACACAGTTTTCCATTTTGTCCGTACAAATTATAAAGTACCAGTCTTCTTTTTCTTTCACTTCCTTTTATTGAATACACAAAGATACAACTTTCAGGAAGAGGAAGCTGCCAATCAAAGGGCTGCCATTCAACACACACAGAATGGGGAAAGTCAGGCAGTGGTGCTGGGATTCGAACACATCACTGGGGCGATAATTTGCTGACGTCACCACCCGACCACCATCGCTCACTCATTTTCCCAAGGTTGTTGAGGGCGTCAGTCCTTACTCAAAACTAAGCTCGAGAATTAAGACTCAAACAAACTAAACACATTGTAACAATAGGAAGCAGGTCCGAAGGCAAACAGTTATTATCAGTGATTCATACATCTGGATGGGGACTTCGAGATCGTGGTAACCGGGGGTTAGAGACAGTGATTGAAATTTCTGAGTGTCATAACCAGTGATATTCGAGCATCTTCTCGATTTCTAAGCTAATTCTATGGAATTCTCCACTTTCTCTTTGACTCCACTTTCAACTGTTCTGTCTTTCTCCTATTGTCTTATCCAAATTGGCAGCCACAAAACAGCAACCAAAAACTGTGCACGAAAGTGGTTTATGGTTCTGTAAACTGAACTAAAACTAAAACTGTACAGATAAAATAAGGGCTTTTTATCCATGTAGGCACATTTTCACTCCTGGTTGTAAGATCCTTCGGCATAGAAGAGGGGGCGAAAGGGTGAGGCGGTTGAATCCGGTATGAGACGAACACGTGTATGTTTTAGGGTGAGATCGATTGTGATTTGAGTGTTGGTGACGCTAGTGGTCAACTTGACGCAACTTTTGGTCATCGAGTGGATACAGGTCATCAGATCAGACCAGAACCGGCGTTTTGAGTTATCTGTTGGTTTTCCCCAACCGCTCTAAGACAATCTATTCTCCATTGTGGCGAAAAGCATTCGCGTTTTCTCGGTGGGAAACATTCTGAATTTACATGTTACAGTTGTACAGTGCTTCCAAGGTTTTCACTAACGGGTCTGTTTGCTCTATACTCGTCGAGATTCAACATACTCTACGTGTTTGTTTGAAATATACTGTTACGCGATTTGTCTCGGTATTATTGCTACTCCACCCCGAACGATTTCCTTTATTTCCCATGTTCAACTTTTTATTCGACCATAATTGAGGACGTCGATCAAGCATATCACTCTCGTCCACCCATTTTATTCTGGTCCCAGTTTCATTGATACAGCAAATACGAACCTGAAAGAAGACCACTTAATCGACAACATCAGTCGAGTAGTTAGACCCTTATGCGAAAGAACGAGTCAGACAACTGCATATTTACTCTGTCCATAACCGCTTTCTCTCTCTCTGTTTCAAAACTGGTATCGATCGATAAAGGCCTGAACGGACGAATCTGAAAGCATACAGGTAAGACGACCACTAAGTAGGATTCGGAGTCAACAACTTTTCTCTCTGGTCTGCAAACAAGATGATGGAGAACAGACAAAGTATTCCATCAAACGAAAACAGTTCCTCTTCATCCAACAGTCACGTTAGTCTTCAAGACGAACCCAGTCAATGGAAAGCCTATATCGGCTTTGGTAGCGATTTGAACTATCTATTCTGGACAAATAGCTGGATATGCCTGATATATTTCATAAATGGATTTGTCACATTCGTTCTACACGTGTATACTTATCGTGCGCTTGAGGGCACACTGAAAATCGAATGTTTCGGCGAGCGATGCTGGACCGCGACCAGAGAGATCTATCCGACCGGGTTTCGCTACAATCTGATGAAACATCACAAAATTTTCTACGAGGAAAGACATACTGGAATTTGGTTTGGCTTATTCCTCATGGCTTACGGCCTGCTGGCCGGATTTCGATTCACACGATGTGTGGTCAATTTGGGCTATTTGTTGAATGTTTTACTCATCCTATTCTGCGTGCTGATTACACCGGTCTGTGCATTGGAATTTTTGGCCTGGATTCCCGGTTTGCGTCCACTGCACGAACAAGTCCCCGATTGTCATCCGGTTCGAATACGTGTACTGTCTGATGTTGTCCTGGTCGCACTGACTCTGACCGTGGCTATCTATCAGTTAATTATCAATACACCATATATACAGCATCGATCGGTACGACTGATTGAACCGTTAATCACGGCTATAAAAAACCACGAACGGGTCGCCAACTTCTGGCTCTCCAGACAGTCTCCATATCACAATATTCGTTTGTAAAACAGACAAACGAACGAGCAAAACCGGTCAAGAGTATCGTTGAAACTGGGTGCGTGATGACAGTACTGGTGACCAAACTGTCACTGCTACTGACTGGTTAGTTTGTGCTTTGACCGCTTTTGTGGATTACAAGTCTTCGTCATGAGAATCGAATTCCCATACGAGGTGGCAGTAAAATTGCGCAGATGAATTGCTGCGCTTATCAAATACATCACAAAATACGAATTGAATAAGTGCCTTGTATTGGTTACGGTTCCTGATTCCGTCATTATTACCGTTGAACATTCGTATTAATGTTATACAGTTTGACTGAACTGGGGTATTTAGGTTCTCTTGTAAAACAGATGTGCTAGTGTGTCTATCAGTTGCTCGGAAGGCAGATGTACAATTCAGCTGACAGAACGTACATCCATGCATGGGTTAGAATCCCATCAAGGTTGTTGATCTTTTCACAATTCAAATACACGAGTACTCTCCTCCATAATCGGCTAAACAACATAAATTCAACAGACACCCGATTGGTCTGCCCCGTTGTTGACATTCTATAGATCGACCATTACACTGGTGTAATGGGAACTTACAAGTGACTATCGATTATGATTTGATACCATCAGCAGGCTAACTACTAACGTGTGAAACGATACGGGAATGCATAGGAACAAAGACACAGGCATTTTTTCAGTGCCCGAATGGTGTATCGTTAACAGGGAACTGCAAAGGTAAGCCCCATGTTAGTTTTGAGTAAAACTGAGCGTTACAAACAAAAATGTTTTCACATATACAGGGTCAATCTAAAAATTACTGTATATATTGAATGATTAAAACATTTTTGATGAAAAAAGTGAATATTGTAAACCAAGTAAATTATGATTGCAGAACAAAATATGCACATGGGACCGTGAAGCAAATAATCAAACTAGAACCACTTGGTTGTTTCGGTGTTTAAAAAATGTTTGCTAGGTCATCTCATCATTGAGAATCCCGATTCTAAGACGAAATTAGGTCCAAAGAATTTGTGATGTGAACCTTTCCCTTCTACAAACTATTTTTATGGTTGAGCGGTGATATATATATATATATATTTCTTAATACGCTGATATTTATTTGCATGGCATGGCTACGAATCAGTGAGAACGAGCTTGTTTGCCAATTCGCATTTTGTATTTGCAAGTTCAATTAGACAAAATCCGAAGCACTAGCGGAAGACTAGGGGTACGGAAGTGATTTGGAAACCCTATGTTTTGTTAACGCGACTGGTTTCGCGCTAAACTCGATCAAGAGATGAGTGGAAACAGGACAAAGCTTCAATGATTATTGGTGTTATATTTTTGCTTCTAAATTTCAATCACGTGGTCTATATTGAAGCAGTGTTGAAGGTCGATTAGACACATGCTATAGTCTTTCCCATGATGGTGGACCACACAATCAGCTATCCAACGCACACACACACACACACACACACATGCGTAGCAGCATTTAGCAAGGGAAATTCTGCGTACTGATAGTCTTCAGCACCCCTACTCATGAATATGCATGATGATATATACTGATTGAGACACAATTGCACTGACAAGCATCTATGTGTACACATACCCACACACACAAACAAATATATAATTCACAAATTTGGGATTCTGCAAGATCACGTTTAGTCTGACGACCTCTTCCAAGGAATCGGGACGGAAGTGAATGACAAGATTCCTGCGATTTCACCGCATCATTTGACTAGGGGTTTCGGTTCAGGAACTCTTGCTTACTCTTATTTATACACTATCTCCCACCCTCTCACCCTGCCCCCTAATTCGAAGCAAATTCGGCTGTGTTATGTGAGTGAATCAATTTAGCTTGATAAGGTTCAGATTATTGGGAGGTTCGAAGAGAGTGAGGAAACCAGAGGCGGAGACAAATCCCATTATCCATCATTGAGATCCTCTGACTACATCGGGGGCTGCTATTAGGACGTAGGCATAGGCTTGACAAGCTGGACAGATGGAGAAGTGTTAATGCTCTCAGACTGCGTTTCACCAGTGCGCCTAAACTTGGGGTGATCCACCCCCCACCCCCCCCTCCCCCTTTCTCCTCACATAGATGTGCGTGTGTGCTAGGATCGACAGAAAAAGAGTGTAATGTAAAACAAACAATGTCGAGGAACAGAAAACAAACTGAAACTGAGCCCAGTTTGTCCCTGTGCATGCGTAACCTGTCAGGGTTAAAACAATGCCATTAGCATACGGTGCGAACAGGTACATCCGGTGAATGTATGTGT